CCCAAGCATTGAGACCCCAAGCATTGAGACCCCAAGCATTGAGACCCTGAGCATTGAGACCCTGAGCATTGAGACCCCGAGCATTGAGACCCCGAGCATTGAGACCCTGAGCATTGAGACCCTGAGCCCAGAAGGGCAGAGCAGGGCAGGGCTGGGGGGGCACCTGGTGGGGTGGTGGGGCACAGCTGCTCCCCACATCTCCCCACTGCTGCCTGCCATCTCCTGAAGGTTACGGCTGCCTCTGCAGCTCAGAGAATGTCACCGAGGCCAACGCTGCTCCAGCGATAGAAATAGCCATCTCCCTGCAGAATAAGCCTAGTTCTCGTTTTTCTTTCTCAGCACCCCTCCCCCAGATGCAGGCTGCCCTCCCTGCAGGCTCCCCACCTCCCTGCAGCCCCATTGGGTCGGGGGCAGATGCATCCCTGCTGTGCTGGATGCTGATGCTGCGGGTCTGTGCTGGGGAAACAGAGGCACAGCTCTGCCCACGGACGCAGCCCCACGCTGTGCCTCCACAGCTCTGCAGGCTGTGCATTGGCTGCAGGCAACCCCAGCCGTCCTCAGGCCCCACACGCTGTGGACAGGACATCGCTGCCCCACCACAGCTTTGCCTGAAGCCACCGCAGGAAGCTGCGTTGCTCGCCCAGGTTTGCTGCTTAGCTCGGCCAGAGGAGACGTTTTTTATGCTTTAATGCAGCTGGAGCGGGGAAAGAAAATCTCGACGGGCCCGTGGTGTAGAGAAATAGTAAAAGAGAAGAAATAAAAGGTGATGGAAATTGTTCAGCTCTCATTGCAGAAGAGAGGGAGCGGAGATGCATCCCCTCCCGTGCCGGGCTGGGCCCTGGCAGCCCCCACCTCCCCATGCCCACAGCATCCAAGAGCAGGCCGAGGGAACGGACCCACAGCCGGTGCCAGACAGAGCGCCTGGCAAGAAATAAAGGGCACGGGGATACAAACCCTCCTGCCTCCTCACGCAGCCCTTCCAGGACAGCATCACAGAGGAAAGCATCCCGCCCACAGCGCTGCCCAGCTGTGTGCCCACTTGGCCGCCAGCAGGAGCTGAGCAGCTGCTCGCTGCGGTGGGGCAGGAGGTGCAGTGGGGTCACCTTCGGTATCTGCACAGCCCTCACTCTGCAAGGAGAGCCGTATCTCATTTCTTCCTCAATTAGCTCCTGATTATCAGTGTCCCAGGGCCCCTTTCCAGTCTCTGTTTAATGCACCATTAATAATTCATTTCGCAGATAGCAAGAATGCAGTGCGAGGTTAGGGCTTTGTGACTAATAACTACCAGAGCAACCCTCATCTCCAAGGGGCAAATGAAGGGAACAAAAAATAAAGTGAAAGAATCAAAGATAATGTGTTTCGTGGCCTTTAATCAAACACTGGATAAAGACTTTGATTACTCAGGTGAAAAACACACAGGTACACATGTGCTCAGCAACCACAGGCTGCTCAGCTCCCACACCTCACTGCCACCACCACAGCCTTGCTGGCACCACACATCCCATCCCATCCCATCCCATCCCATCCCATCCCATCCCATCCCATCCCATCCCCACCCCCATCCCATCCCATCCCCACCCCCATCCCATCCCATCCCATCTCATCCCATCCCATCCCATCCCATCCCACAGAACTGCTCCCAATCTCAGCACCTCCCAGGGTTCCCCCTAATTTATGGTGGGCAGGGAACCAGGGGTCTGCAGGACTGGGCCCTGCAAAGTTTGAAGGAACACATTTCTGTCCTTCTCCTGCAAACAGAGAATCAGGAATGCAATAATATACGAAGCTCATTTACATCAGCTAATGAATGGTGTCAGTACACAGAACATCCCCATCACATCTTCTGCTCCTTGCCTGGTGGAACTCAGGTGGGTTTACTGGGACCGGAGCCCAGCGCACTTCTGGGGTTTTCCTGAGCTCTCCTGTGTGGGGGGATGCTGTGATGGGGCCGGCAGGAGCTGCAGTGGGTCCCCAGCACAGGCTCTGCTGGCCGGGCAGCTCCAGGCTCCCAGGACGGATCCAGCCCACAAAGGGGACAGGAGAGGGGGAATCCAGCGTCAGCCTTGAGGTGCGGCATGAAAGCACTGCCTTGGTGGCAGCTGCACGTTACGTGTGATGGGTTTTTGACAGATCCAGTTATGAAGCCAGGTCTCAGCAGAGTCACAGCCAGATATTCAGCGCATGAAGTGTTGTGTGGGAATTATCTGATATTTCTGCTTCGTGTTCCTGGTCCTCTCCAGAGCCCCGGGCTGTGCGGACTCCAGCCTTATCTCTGGTCACCACGGCCGCCTGCACTGCTCTGCTGAGGCTCCGGCCATCTGCAGGCGCAGACCTGCCCTGGAAACACCCCTTTATGAAGGCGCCCTGAGCCTTCATGTGGGGCTGGAGCCACAACCGCTCCTCTCTGTGAGTTTCCCTTAAATTTCATTTTCTCAACAGCAGCCGAGAGGGCAGCGCTGCGCTCAGTGCTGACTGTCGTGCAGTGATGGCAGGTGGAGAGGAAGGTTGGGATGAAGCTGGCAGCGCCGCAGCCGTTGGAGCGGAGCTGTGTCATTGTGCCCTGGCTCTGAAATCCGGGAGCTGCCAGGCAGACAGATTTGCCTTTGCACCTGCAAAGCTGCTTCATGCTCTGCCGGCTGCAGCTGAGCCTGGGCACGCGGGAAACTGCAGGGAGCAAATTGAGCTCTGCTGAGGCCCTTAAGCAGCAGCTTCTGGGGCTCCTTGGGGTGCCCACCGGGGGCTGCAGCCCCTCTTGCCCCCACTACACGTGTGAAAAGAGGGGAGCAAGCAGAGTGAAGAGGGGGGCTCGATTTTGGGGTTGGAGTTGCACCACGATGCACACTTTCCAGCAGGCTGGAATTTCCCTTGCTGCAGAGATTTCCCTCACTCTGGCTGCCCCAGGAAAGGTCACCTCTGCGTTCCCAGGCTCAGCAGAGTGCAGGAGCTTCAGGTGTGCTGGAAAGCAAAGCTCAGCCCCTCGCCCCCTGTGCCCACCGGTGCCACCAGCCCAGCCCTGCTGCTGCCCATCATCTGCCAGCACCGGGCAGAGGGATGGAGGGACCCAGCACTGCACTCAGAAAGGGCCCCCAGCACCCCTCTGGCTGCAGACCTGCAGGTTCTGAGTTTCCATTTGTCTGACTTTATCTCCAACCCTTCGGTTCTCATTATTCCTCACTCAGCAAAGTTAAAGGGCTTTTAATACCTGGCACTTTTCTCCCCAGGAAGGTGCTTGTGCACCGCAATCAAGGCACATCTCAGGCTACTCTTCGATAAGCTAAACAGATTGAGCTGTAAGTCTCTGTTAAACACCCGGCCTCAGGAAGGGCCAATCTGAGGCGCCTCCAGGCAGAGGGAGCAGAGCTTTTTGCAGCTGGTGCACTGAGAGGTGAATTGTCGCTCTGCGATGTGCCAGAGACAAATGAAATGGGCTGAATAAAAATAAATCCTTGCATTGTCCTCGATCAGGAGAGCTCTGTGAGCACGCGCTGCTGCAGGGCGCTCCCGCACTGTGAGCCCACCCCATGCAGAGCCCTCACCTGCTGGGCTGCAGGAACTCACCTGCAACAGAGTGGATAGAAAACACCTTCGTGGCACTTTTAGCCACAGAATTTGCTGCAGCAGCTGTTTGCTCCGGGCCTAATGGTGCCTGACTGTGCTTACAGGCAGGGAGTGATGATGGCCGGGAACGTAAGTGCTTTGGGGAGCTGAATAAGCAAAGATGCTCCGAGCCATGGGCTCAGATCCAGGGGTTATTGACAGGGATGTGTCAGTGCACAAGGACTGGTCCAGCAGCCCTCGCTAATGCCTGCATATTGACAGGGCAATTGTAGTGATGAAGTGGGGCTCTCAGTCTGTTTTAATCACAGGAGAAGCCTGCCCGGGCCTGGGCTGCACAAGGAAGGGGGTGGCAGGGGGACGTGGACCTGGGGAATGGAGACCCTCAGCCCACCGCGTCCCTGTGGTCAGAGCACGAGTATGCTGCAGGCCAGGCAGGTGGGGGAGTGACCCGAACCGCTGATGGGAGGGGAGAAGCCCCCCGCCCCACCTGGAGGTGGCCGCCCCGGCACCAGGAGGATGTAGGGCAGAGCTGCTGGGGGGGGTGGGTGGGTGAGGGGGAGGGAGGGTACAGACTTCTCCCTCTGAAGGACAGTGGCTCTGAAGGACCAGCCAAGGTCACAGCAGCAATCGCTGTCACTTGGCTGCTCTCTGCCACTGCACCCAAGGTGCTGAGCTCCAGGGAAGGAGCAGCCAGGCAGGGCTGGGGGTAAAGCAGGGATGGGAGGAAGGTGCAGAGGTTGGATGCAGACCATAAGCTGCCTCGAAACCCCACGCAGCCCATCACAACGCTCTCGGGGTCCCATATTCCATGGGGTCTGCTGCACCTCTAAAAATGGGGAAGCTTGGGGCAACGTTGCAGAAGCTCTGGTTTGAAGGAACAAAGAGGGTAAGGGAACAGCCGGCTCCATGCAGACTGAGAGGTCAGTGCCGCAGGCGCCATCAGGTTAATGCACAGCCTGGATTCTCCAAGCACGAATCAGGGCAATTAGAGCTTAGCAAAATGATCTGGGGTCCCCGCAGAGGGGCCTTATCCTGGGGAGAGGGCACCGCAGCCCACAAAGAGCTCCAAATAACTCACGCGGCCTCATTACCCGGTTTCTGCGGAGCGGGAGCGCGGCTTCGCGCTGCCCCCAGGGATCCCCCCCGAATTTGGGCTGAGCTCCACGGCGGCCGCCTCTCCCGCACGAAGCCGAGCCCGCGGGGCGGCCCCGCACGGCGCCCGCAGCGGAACGGGAGCGGGTTTCCCTCTAGCGACCGCCGGCGGGAGAGCACAGCGGGGACGGACGGGAAGAACGAGCGGGGCGGGAGCACGAACGGAGCAACGCGTTCTTTGACCCGAGCCCGGCTCGCACGGGGAAGAGACCGCGCACAGCTTTGCAGGTACGCACCGCGAGCCTTGACCACGCCGGATGCCCGCCTTCACAAAGCAGACGCACGCCGGAGCAGCCCCAGCACCGCAGGGACGGCAGCCGCTGTCCGGAGCGGGAGCACGGGCTGCCCCGGCCCTGCAAGGCCTTTAGCAGAGTTCTGCGCTCACTCCCGCAGGATTGCGGCTGCAGAGAGCAGAGAGATGCAGCCGCCTGCAGAACCTGAAGCGATGTCGTGTCTCAAAGGCGATGGAAAGGTTCCCCCCGCCCCAGGTGTGGCCTGGGAGCAGCCCTGAGTGAGCCGGCACTACAGGGACTCGTCCTGGGTGCTGGAGCAGTACTCCAGGTAGCTGAATTCCTCGATGGGGAACGTCACTCTGCTCCACTTCTTGTACTTCTTCTTCTCATCCGGGGTCACCACCACAAAGTTTTTGATGCTGAGGATGGGTAACGTCACGTTCCTGTAGATCATCTCCATTCCCCACTCCTGTGTGGACAGGGAGGGGACACTCACACACGTGGTGACACAACCCTGGGCTGCAGGACCTCGCACCTGGCCCTGCGCCTGAAAGCTGGAGGCAGCTCCTCGCTCCCAGCACCCCCCCCCCTTAGGAGCTGCCCTGGCAGCGTTCCACGCGTGCAGCACCCACAGCCAAAGGGAAACGCAGCTCCTGTTTCTTGCTGCGTGGCTGAGTGGCGGCGCAGGAGCTCACCTGCCTGCACTCACTGCACACAATGCGGCACCCGGGCTCCCAGTCCCTGAAAGTCCGCTCAAAGTGTATTTTCCCAGGTAAGACTGTATAATAAAACCTATAAGAAAGGAAACCAAAGACGCCCTGAAGGGGGTGGTCCTGGGACAAAACGCAGCTCTCCCACAGCCCCGCACAGCCCCTGTGACCTCCCCGGACCAGTGTCCCCAAGGAGGAGCAGGCAGCAGCCACCCCCCTGCTCTGGGCAGAGCTCAGCTCTGACCACTGGACTCTGCCCGTCCCCTCCTACCTGAAGTTGGGGTTGATGTTCACATGGTGCATGGCCTCCACTGTGCGGATGTCGCTGCCGCGGCACACGGCCTCGTTGCAGTTGACACAGTGGAAATAAACGTCATCCGGGTCGTGCAGCTGCTGCCTCTCGCTGCTCCTGTCTTCCTTCACTTTCCAGCTGAGAACAGCATTTCTCTGCAACTCCAGGATCTGCAGGGAGGGCAGACAGGTGGGAGGATGGGGTCAGCAAGGATGACACACAGACAGGCCGCAGGTGCAGTAAGAGACGTGGCCATAGAGAGATGCAGCATCACAGGGAAGACAAGCTGCATGGAAGGACAGAGACGTGCTGTGCCATGCAGTTCCTACTGTCCCTCTCCAGAAGCCAGCACTGCCTCAAGGGGAGAGCAGGCACCTAAAATCAGTGTGCAGAGGGCTGTGCGCACAGGCAGACGCAGGAAGGAGCAGTGCAGCCTTCCCTGCGCTCACCTTCAGGCGGTACTCCCGCTCAGGCATGGCTTGCACTGCGCTGATGGCCCTCTCCATGAGCTCCACCAGTTTCTCATTGAGCTGCTCCCGGAACACCTCCCGGCTGCTGGCTTTGGCGAGGACAGAGTACACACTTTTCTGGGCACGGGCACGACCCCGGGCCTGCAGCAGAGAGAACAAACACCGCGGCACGGCTGAGCCTCTCACACCACAGAACGCACAGGGCAGGGCAGAGTGCTCCCCCTGCACCCTGCAGCTCCACGGGCAATGCTGTGCCAGGGCCAGGCTCACCCCGAGAGCTGTCAGTAGGCACCAGGGGTGTGGAGGGGTCCCCAGGTGCCGCCCAGGCGCCTCAGGGCGGGGGGGATCCAGGGTGCTACCTGCACCATGGCAATCTCGTTGGTCATCAGCCCGTAGCGCACCACAATGTTGCACTCAGGGATGTCCAGGCCCTCCTCGGCCACGCTGGTGGAAAAGAGCAGGTTGAGCTCTCCGCTGCGGAACAGTGTGATCACATCCTGCTGCTCATTCTGGGGAGAGAAGGGAGGACACTTCAGCGGCACCCCAGGACCAGGGGCTGCGCACGGATCCGAGCTCCTATCCGCACCCACGGCACCCACGGAGCGTGCAGAGAGGGGTCGGGCCGGATCCCCACCCAGTTCCATCCATCATCAGCACTGCCCTGGAGCGCAGTGGGGCCGTGCACACCCTGGGCCCCTCACCTGGGTCATGCCCTTGGCCTGGCTGCTGTAGCCGGTCCCGGTGAGCACGGCCGCCCTGATGTGCCGCCCGCACAGCCGGGCCGTGTCCCGAAACCAGCGGAGCAGGCTGTGTGCGCTCTGCCGCGTCTTGGTGAAGACAATGCCACGAGATGACCCCGGGGGCTGGAAGTGCTCCTGCAGGACCTCCTCCAGTTTGCTCAGCCGGGGGTTCTCGTAGCGCTGGTCTCCAGCCAGCGCCAGCAGCGTGGCCCTGTTCTCTGCACAGAGAGGTGGGTGTGAGGGCTGAGCAGCCTGCACCGCCCTGCTGCTCCCCTCCACCTCTCCTTTACCCTCAAAGGTGTTGGCCAGGAAGCGCTCGGTGGGGTCCTTTGTGTCCCTCTCATCAGCATAGAACTGCTGCAGGCACTGGAAGGCGTCCATCATGCGCACGGCGTCGTTGATCAGCAGTGCATCGTTGTACCTGCGCAGGTGCAGCGCGCACACCCGCGCCTTGCGACAAAACCTCTCTGCCGCTGGCAAAGAACAGTGACAGCGAGGTCACATCCCGCCCCACCAGCCCGTCACCCCCCAGGAAACTCACCTGGGCCAGTTCCTCACCTCTGTTCTCCAGCTCCACGATGCGCTGCTCGTACAGCTGGGTGCCAAAGTCCTGTGGGAGTCCAGGTATCTCCATGTGCTCCTGGATCTGTGCCATGATCTTCTTCAGCCGTTGGCCAAAGGGGTCCTGGGGGCAGAGCAGGCTCAGGACCCACGGGATTGGGGATATTGCTCTGGCACAGCCAGGGGGGTTGGGCTGGTTTGCAAGGCAGGACCCAGGTGGGCTCTGGGTGAGCTGATTCCTGCAGTTGGCCTAATCCACGTGGGGGGTGAGCACAGAACAGCCGGGGGAGACCCCAGGCTCAGCAGCAAATGAGAGCTTTGGGGTCACAGGGAGCAGCGCTGTGGGCTCAACCCACCACCTCTCACCAGCGCTCTCTCCTCGCACAGGTCGTACTGCTTCCTGGGCTGGGGCACATGGCTCTGCAGGTGCTGTGTGTGCTTCTGTGCTGATGTGATCACCTCGGTGTCCAAGTTGGCGCAGATCTGAAAGGAGAGAGCCCCACACGCAGCCCTGAGGCCTGGCAGCCCAGCACCATGCAGCGCACAGCAGGATGCCAGAACCCACCCCATTTGGAGCCCCAGAAGCTCAGGGGAGCAGCACCCACCTGCAGGATGTGCTCCACAGCCCCTTCGAAGGAAGTTTCCCCCCCGGTGCCAGGGGATGCTGTCAGGCCCAGGATCTGCGGCAGGTCCCGCTGCCCGCTGAGCTTCTTCTGGAGGTAACTCAGCATGATTTTGTTGTAGACGGCTTCCTTGTGAGTGTGGTGGCACTCATCTATCACCAGCAGGGAGAAATCTGTGCGGGCAAAGCAGGGCAGCGGGGTGAGCCGCTCATCCCGGGGCCGCCCCCAGCCGGGCCGCGGGGCCTCACACCCACCTGTCAGCTCCACGTGCGCCTCCTCCTCCCCGCTGAGCAGCGCGTTCTGCAGGATCTGCGCCGTGCAGATGACCACATCGCTGCCCTTCGCCAGCTGCCCGAAGAAGCACTTATGGCTGCTGTCCCCGCTGACCGCCGCCACTTTGAAGGCATCGCGCAGGACGTGGAACTCCTTCTCCAAGTGCTGCTGCACCAGGTGCACCTGAGGGGCGCCCAAAAGCTCGTCAGACCCGGCCGTGGCCCCGCCTTCCTCGGGCCTGCGGGGTCCTCGGGCACCTTGTTGACCAGCACGGCCACCCGGCCGCCCCGCCGCCCCTCCAGGTGCCGCCTGCAGACGTGCACGGCCGCGCGGGTCTTGCCGGCGCCCGTGGGCAGCCACACGATGCTGTTACGGCCGCCCAGGGCCGGGACCACCGCCTCCAGTTGGTACCCGTGGAGCTCCATCGCCGAGTCCCGGCTGGGGAACGGAGCACGGAGGAACGGAGGTCGCGAAAGGAAAGCGGGGCCGCCCGCCGTGCCGAGCTGCGCTGGGAGGGGGAGACCCGGCAGGGCCGCGCCGCACCGCACCGCACCGCACCGCGCCGCCTCCGGGCCGCCCCCCAGCCTGGAGCCTCGGACCTGAACAGAAACCGAAAGCAGGCGGAGCTCCGCGGCGTCATCGCGCTCCGGGGGCGGCTCCATATCAGCACCGTGCGCCCCAACCGCCCATCCTCTGACCCCCTGCCCCCCCCCAGGCACCGAGTTCAGCCCCCCCCGGTCCTGCCGCACGATCAGGCACAGGGACAGCTGGCTCTGCACAAGTACATTTAATTAAAAAATAAAAAAAAGAATTAAAAAAAGAAACAAAACCAATGCAAATAAAACAGTCACATGGAATGGGTGACGCGAACAGTGGGACAGGGTCTGGTCCCACCCCAGCAAGGCCAGTGAGCCTGTAGAGCAGCACCAGAGTTCACACAGCAAGGACAGCACGGGGGTAAGGCAGCAGGCGACCGAATGCGGGACGGGGGAGGAGGAGACATTAACGCTACGTGGGATGCACCCCAGCACAGCTCCCATGGACGTGCGGGCACAAGGAGGGATGCAAACAGCCAGCCCCAACCCCGGGGCTGCAGGACAGCAAGGGGAAGGGGGGGAGTAGGCCCCCAACCACAGCAAGGAGCTGGAAGAGCCCCCACCGCTCCCTGCAGGGCTACAAGCAGTGGGGGGAGAGCAGAAGGCTGTGCTCCTGCAGGAGGGAAGAGCTGACAGAGGCAGCAGGAGGAGGGACATCCCTCAGCTCAGCACCTCTGCCCTGCAGCCTGGGGGGGGCCAGGGAGGTGCCCCACAGTACATTCAAGAAGAGGGGCCGGCGCTGCCCGTGCACGGACAGGAGCAGGGGCTGAGGTCCGTGCAGAGCCAAAGCACTTGTGTGCCCCTGCCCTGGCTCCGAGCGGGGGCAGAAGGCACAACCCTGGGGGGGGAAGCAGCCCCGCTGCAGCCCCCCCTTCCACAACCCCCGAGAGAGGGACTGGCAGCACCGCAGCTGCCCACCCCCCCTTCCCCAGCAGCAGCAGCAGCACGGCCAGCAGCAGCCCCTGCCCACAGAACGGGGCCGCATCCCGGATGGCCCCTCTGGGGGCGGCAGCAGCCCTGCCCCTCCCCGCCAATGGGAGCAGGGGGGGTCGTGACAGCCACGGCACATCCAGACCACCCCCTACTTGTCGATGAGCCCCCCTTCCTTCAGCTTGAAGTAGAAGAACTTCTCCAGAGTGTTGGCACACTTGCAGTAGTCGCTGTCGGGCGGGTTGTACTCGCGGCAGTTGGTGATGATGCGCTGCAGGTCGGCGATGAACAGCTTCTTGGTGACGTAGTAGCGGTTCTTCAGGCGCTCGGTCATGGTCTTCAGGTCTGGGGGTGGGAAGGAGTTGGGCCCCATCACATCTCCGTGCCCCCCGCCCTGCAGGTAGGTCCCCCTTCCGCCACCGGCCACAGTCAGGGGGTCCCTGAAGGGTCCCATTCTGCTGCCCGGCTCGCCCCCTGGGACACCCCCTGCCCAGCACTGCTTTGGGGCACGCTGCAATCCCCCGTTACCCCACAGCCCCCAGGCACCCACCAATGGGGAAGCGGATGATTTCATAGTAGTCCGGCGCCTCCGACTTCTTCACCGGCTCCATGAAGGGCCACGCGCTGGGGTGAGTCTGGGGGCAGAGGGGCAGAGTTACTGCAGCGTCTGCCCTGTGCCCACAGCCCAGGCAGAGCCGTGCCAGGGACACCTGGCCATCCCCTCCCAGGGACAGCATGGGGGATGGCACAGGAGCGCACAGCTGCCCCACACCTTGATCTGGGCCAGGAGGTTCTTCAGGGTGTTGTAGAGCTGGTCCGGATCCTTCAGCTCCTTCCTGCAGGGCAGAGCAGAGCCCATCAGCACAAGGTCCTGCACCCCAGTACAAGGCTATTGCTGGGGTGGCACGGAGCAGGAGCCCACAGCTCCAGTACCCCTCACTCACCCCTTTTCCTTCCCCAGTGGTTTCCAACCCGTTTCTCCTGTAAGGAAAGACTCAGCATCACCAGAGGGTTCTGCCCCCATACACACGGCACAATGCTCCTCACCAAGAGGTCTGGATGAGCCCTGCCAACCCCCCCCGACAGCATGGAGAGCTCACGGATGCCAGGGACGCTCTCGATGGGGATCTGCCGCACGCCCTCCTTGAAGCAGGTCAGGCCAGGGTAGACCTTGCGGATCTGTGCTTGCTTCCTCTCAATCAGCTTCTTGATGATCTGCAATGGCAAAGTGGCATGTCAGCACGCACTGCGGGACATGAGGCCCCGACAGACCCAGAGCAACAGCCAGGAGCAGCCCTTCTCCTAATGGCACTGCAGTGATCCTGTGAGCACGGCTGCAGGGCTGGCTGAGGGATGGTTCCCAAAGGCTGGCACACTCCATCCCCTCACTTCTGGGGGAGTCAAAGGTACCTCCTTCTGCTTTTTGATGATGTGGGAGAGCTCAGTATAGGGGATGCGGGGGTTCAGCTCACACTCCATCAAGGTTGCCCCCTCGTAGTCCTTGATGTAGCCCAGGTAGCGGCTCTTGGGGACCTTGATGTCCTTGGAGAAGCCCTGGGAGGGGAGGAGAAGTGGGAGGGAACTCAGGGACGGAGGGTCAGGCTGGGGGAAGCAGCAGGGAGAGGAACCCACCTGCTTCTTGAAGTAGCCAATGGCGTACTCATCGGCGTAGGTGAGGAAGTAGAGGATGTTGTGCTTGATGTGGTACTCCTTCAGGTGGTTCATCAGGTGTGTCCCGTAGCCCTGGGGGGGCTGCCATGAGACGGGGTCCTCACACCCCCAAGGCAGCCCGTAAGCCCTCCCAGGCGGGTTATGGCCTCACCTTCACTTGCTCGTTGGATGTCACGGCACAGAAAACGATCTCGGTGAAGCCCTGGGTGGGGAACATGCGGAAGCAGATGCCCCCAATCACACGGCCGTCCTTGATGAGCGCCAAGGTCTTGTGCTTCCTGCGGCCAAACCGACAGTGAGACGGGGGGAGCCCCACGCAGCCCCCGCAGCCCCCAGCACCCACGGGTCGAAGACGAGGCGGGTGATGTACTCCTTGGGCATACGGGGCAGCTGGTGCGAGAAGACGTTCTGCAGGCCCACCAGCCACATCAGGATCTTCTTGTTGGACTTCTGCGAGAGCGAGTTGCCAATGACGTGGAACTCGATGATGCCGCGGCGCTCCTCCAGCCGGGCGGTCTCATCCCGCGCCGCGTTGGCCGACAACAGGCTGGTCTGCATAGGGGGCAGCTGAGCCCCCCCGGCCCCAGGACCTCAGAGCCCCCGAGATGCCAGCACCCCACGAGCTGCGCCCCACGGCGGTGCCGTCCCTGCCTGCCTCCCCAGCCGTACCTCAGGGCCCAGCATGGCAGCGGGGTCGGTGATGGTCAGCATCACCTCGTTCACCAGCTCCATGGGGATGTCGCCCATCACGCGGATCCTCTTGGCATCCTCCAATGTCAGGCTCTCAGGCAGCTTCCGCTTCTCCCCTGGGGCAGCACGCAGCTCGTCAGGCAGAGCCCCCAGCACTGGGCTGAGGCTGCTCCCGCCCCCTGCACTGCCCTACCCGGCAGAGGCTCCGGCGTGCCGGTGTCCATGCTCGTGGCCAAGCTGCTGCTGCTGAGCTTCTTGCTGAAGAGCGGTGCGGTGGGCACTGTGACGGCACTGACGGTGGCTGCAGGAGAGCAGACAGCCATAAGTACAAGGAAGCCCCATCCACGCTGCAGCAGTGACAGCACCAGCCCAGCCATCACCCTACGGTACCTGGGCGCGACACCAGCTGGGCGCCCTCCGCAGCTGGCACAGTGAAATCCGCCTCCCATATGGGCGAGTTCTCACCATAGATCTCCTCCTCCAGCATGGACAGGAACCTGGCGGGGAGCAGCGTGCCGAGCTGGGTGCACACAGCCCCGAGGGGAGCGCAGGGGAAACGGCCGCGCAGACGGCAGCCCCGTGCCAGGCACCTACTTGGGGAAGTGGGTGAGGATCAGCGTGCGCTTCTCCGGCACCAGCTTGTCCTTCTCCACCCGGAACTTCTCCAGCAGCTGCCGGCGGGTGACAGTGAAGATGGACTTGAGGAGGCTGCGCCCAAAGACGTGCGTGGTCTCGTAGCGGGGAAGGCTGTCGCAGCTCTGCGGCACGTGGCAGTAGCACAGCCACCTGCGGGAGAGAGCGTGCGCTCCTGGGGCTGGGACCCCCGGCAGCAGTGCTGCTGAAAGACCCAGGCAGAGGCGGCCCCCCTCACCTGGTGTAGTTGACCTTGTAGGTGGCCACGTCATCGTTCTGCGAGCGCTGCCGGAACTGCGACGGCGTCTCCAGCTTCCAGTAGTTGAGGCAGAGCAGGAACATCTTGGAGAGCTCATACATCGTCTGCCGCTCCTTGGGGGGGAGGTGGCTGAACTTGTACTGCACGAAGTTCAGGACCCCCTGGGGGAGAGGAGTGGGTTGGGAAGCGCCAGGGCCGTGGGTCACCGCACCGCAGAGCCCAGCTGCCCACAGGCACCTCCGAGATCCAAGCAGGAGGCCTGGAGAAGCAGCGGGAGCAGAAGGGCTGCCGCCACCACCACCATGCGCTCACATTTTCCACTTTCAGTGACAAAGCTGAGAGCTCCGTGAGTTTGCAACACAGTGCGTGGAGTCACCATGATGCCAAAATGCTGTGTTTGCTCGATTTAGGGTTTTCAGCCCAGCCTGTCCCCAGCTCAAGTCCCCAGCACAGCCCACAGCGGCCTCACCTGCTCGATGTTGGGTTTCTCAAACGGGGGGCTCCCCAGCGACCCCTCCACCACCGGCTGGCTCATCTGCAGGATGCACTTCCTGAGGAGCTGCGAAGACCCCATGGGACACCATCACCACCTCAATGCCCGCTCCTTCCCAGGCACCTCCCTTCCTGGGAGATCGGACACAGCAGCTCTGCAGCTCTGAAATGGGGCTCACAGAGCGCAGCTGCCTGCAGGTCGGGCAGAGGGTGACCAGCAGGACAGACGGACGCACCTTGAACAGGTAGAAATAGACCTGCTTGGTGTCCGTGTCCTCCTCCTTGTGCACTGACATGAAGAGGTTCTCCACGTCCACCACCATGCCCAGCAGTCTGTTGATCTCCTCCTCCGAGACGTTCTCCAGGTGGGACACGTGGTCGGCTGCGGCAGAAACAGCACGTGGTGAGGGGGGGGCACGGCTCCCCATCCCGGGGGTCCCAGCAGCTGTGCGGCCCGGGGGTGCGGGGGGGAGGGGGGGTGTTACCCAACGCGTGGCCGCAGCTGCGGCAGGGCTCGCTCAGGTTGGTCACCGGCTGCTGCAGGTCCATGCGTGGGGCGGTGGGAGGGTTGGGGTTCTTCCAGCCGTTGCACTTGCACGCATCGTTAGCCTGCAGGAGGGACGCGAGAGGCCATCGCGCAGCAGCCCAACGCGCGACGCAGCCAGCAGGCGGCTGAGCGGCTTCACCCACCCGCCGTCCAAAAGCCCCAGACCGTCGCACCCCAGCGCTGAACGCTCTCCCCGGATCCGGCTCAGGATCGCGCGCCCTCCGCCCGCGCAGCGCAGCTCAGCGCACAGCGCCGCTCAGCCCGGCGCTCCGCACCGCTCCGCCCGCGCGCAGCCCCGCATCCCCTCCCGCACGGCGCGGCATCTTCGCCCCCGCGCCCCGCGCCCACCTTGCAGGCCGAAAACACCCCCAGCTTCTCCAGCTTCTTGCCGCGGGGGAAGCCCCGCACCTGCGCCTTGCGCTGACTCGCCCGCTGCTGCTGGCTGAGCCCGGGCCGCGCCGGATCGCTGGAAGCCGCGCCGCCCGCTCCTCCCGGAGCCGTTCCCCCGCTCCCCGCCCCGGCGTTCGGCGCCGCCGCCGTTCCCGGAGCCGGCGGGGGCCTCCCGGGTTGCGCGGCCTCCGGCTCCGCCATGCCGGGCCCGGCGTGCGCTCCGAGCTCACTGCGCCTGCGCGCCGGGCACGCCGGGAGCGGCGGCTCGCAGCGGGGAGGGTTGAGCGCGGCGTTACCGGGACGGCGCACGGCGCTCCGCACCCCCGCACGGGAGCCGGGCTGGCGGCCGGGCGCTCCGAGCGCGGCGTCCCGGCACGAAGGAGGCTCCCTGCGGACCCATCCCGGGGCTCCGCCGGTAACGCGGGGCCGAAGCTCAGCGGGGGGCGCCGGCCAGGAGCCCGGGACCGCGGGAACGGATCCTCCGCGCCGCCAAATACGGAGCGCTGCCGCACCCACGGCCGGCAGATACGGAGCGGACGGAGCCCGTCTGCCCATACATGGAGCGGCTCCGCCCGCAGCCCCGCGAATGGGCGCGGTTTGGCGGAGCGTCCTTCGCGGGGAGCCCCGCAGCGCCTGGAAGGTGCGAGCAGCGGCGGGGCGGTGCGGGGGGGCACGGCTGCTGTCCCCGGCCCGGCAGCGCGGCGAGCGTCCCGGCGCCTTCCTGAGGAGCCCAGCGCCGCGTCCCCGAGGGCTCTCCGTATTCGTGTCGCCGTGCGTGTGCGGGAGCCCCCCGGCCGCCTCTCTCCACCAGGGCAGCTTGGGGAGACGTGCCGGGGATGCGCCCTCTGCAGCGCAGTGCAGCTCTCGGGATGGCCGTCCCGCTGCGCGAGCACAGCGAGGCCAAACCGGCAAACACACGAGCCGTATATGTAAAAGTCAGGGACGTTTATTACATATCAAAAAAATCTACACGCTTTGGCCAGAGATCCCCCCCCGTCAGGGCCGGCACAGCCCCGCTCTGCGGCCGGCGGTGCCCCAGCACCGGGCTCAGCCCGGCCCCGCGCTGCTCCATCACGCCTTGGCTCTCTCTGCTCCGTCCTCGGCTTTGGCCACCGGCTGTGCCGCTGCTGCTGGCAGCTGGATGGGCACATTCCTCTCGTTTGGCGGCGGCAGGGCCAGCCGAGGGGCCTCGATGCGCAGTTGCCCCTCGCTGGACAGGGAGCAGCTCAGCGCCTCGGCGTCCACCTCCTCGGGCACGTCCCACTCGCGCTTCAGCACCTCGTACTTGTAGGAGAAGGAGCCCTTCTCGTCCGTGCTCTGCGTCTCCTTCTGCCCCACCAGCACCACCTTCCTGCCCACCACCTTCACCGACAGCTGCTCGGGGGCGAAGTCCTTCACGTCCTGGCAGACGGAGAAGCCCTCCCCGGAGCCCTGGGTCAGAGCCGCGCTGCTGCTCGGTGCCCGCTCGATGCTGACGCGGTTGGAGCTACTCCCGCTGCTCAGGAGCTGCTCGAAGCTGCTCATGAACTGCCGAGCCCTTTCCATTTCCATCCGTATCTCCCTTTCCAGCTCAGCAAAGAGGGTGCCCGGGTGCGGCCAGAGGGTGCGGACGGGTCCCAGCCATGGGAACAGAGACCCGGAGGTGGGCGGCATGAAGTGCAGGCGGCAAAGCATCTCTGTGGTGCTGCGTCTGAGGCTGTGCGCAGGGCTGGAGCGGTGCTGGGCTGCCGCCGGGACGCGGGGTTTTATCCTCCTCTTCCCAGGGGTGTGCCCCTTCCAGAACGCTCTCTCCCCACGCACCCTCCTGGAGCCATCGCCTATTTTTGCGCGGCTGATTATCCGCCGGCCAAAATAGCAGCGCCTGCTTCTGGGGCCGAGTCACCCTCCGCAAATAGGGAGCTGCAGTCACCGCCGAGGCTCGGGTTTCTGCAAAGCCACCGTGATGCAGCACGCGGCACCGCCGGCCGAGGGGGCAAACAAAGCCTTCCCGCAGCCCCACACTGCAGCGCGGGTCACGCCGCGCAGGGACAGTCCCACCCCGATGGTGTCACCGCTGCCCGACGGCTCTCGCACTTTCCAGACCCACCCCCACGTTCGGGACTCCGTGCAGCCTTGAACGCAGCGCCTGTGAACCCTGCGTGGGGCGGGCAGTGTTTGCTTCGGTGTGTCCCGTGGGGTCCCGACGGCGCCCGGCGGGGGGGACGCATTGCTGCAGAGGGGTCCTGAGAGTGGGGCGGGGGGGAATGGGCCGAAGGGAAGGGAGGGCAGCGAGGAGGGCAGTCCGGCCCCGCTCCCTGCCGGGAAGCAGAAAGGCCACGGATTTTTGGCAGGGGCGGCTCGGGCATCCCGCGCGGAGGCTGAGGTGATGCTGCTAATTATAATTCGGGAGAGCAGAGCTGCAAGAGTAAGAGCGAAGGTATGTGGGCCGTGAGGTAAGAGGTGCCTCACCTCTGCGATGAGTAACAAGAATGAGCTGGAACGGGCCAGAAAGAACCGCGCTCTTCTCCCGAAGGTGACGGCATCCGCGGGCCGAGGCCCCGCCTCCCGGGAGGGGAAATAAAAGCCGCGGGCGCCGGAGCCGGAGCACAGCGCTCCCAACTCCCGGAGAGGAAACAGCTGAGAGCAAAGAGCTGAGAGCAGCAGCAGCAGCAGCAGCAGCAGCAGCAGCAGCAGCAGCAGCAGCAGCAGCAGCAGCAACAACATCATCATCAACAACGATGCTTTGCCGGATGCACCTCGCTCCATTCGCCTCCAGCTCCCTGGCCACCCGGCTGGGCACGGTGAGGACCCTCTGGCCGCACGCAGAGACCATCTTCAGCGAGCTGCAGCAGGAGATGGAGAAGGCTCGGCAGTTCATGAGCAGCTTCGAGCAGCTCCTGAGCAGCCACGGACCCGTCACCGCAGAGCAGGCTCCGAGCAGCAGCGCAGCCCCGGCCCAGGGCTCCGGGGAGGGCTTCTCCGTCTGCCAGGATGTGAAGAGCTTCGCCCCCGAGCAGCTGTCGGTGAAGGTGGTGGGCAGGAAGGTGGTGCTGGTGGGGCAGAAGGAGACGCAGAGCACGGACGAGAAGGGCTCCTTCTCCTACAAGTACGAGGTGCTGAAGCGCGAGTGGGACGTGCCCGAGGAGGTGGACGCCGAGGCGCTGAGCTGCTCCCTGTCGCCAGAGGGGCAACTGCGCATCGAGGCCCCCCGGCTGGCCCTGCCATCTGCTGCTGAGAGGAACGTGCCCATCCAGGTGAGCCCCGCGGCTCCGCAGCCCGGGGCAGCCAAGGATGGAGCTGTCAGCAAAGCCAAGGCGTGATGGGACGGAACGGCGGTCTGCATCGGGACCAGCAGAGGCGGCAGTGAGTCTTGGGCTGTAGCCCAGACATCCTCCATCCACCGTGTTTTTCACTATACTGGAACGTTCTTCTTTTTGTATCCAATAAAAAATCCTTTTGCATAGAACCCGGTTGTGCTTCTTTTTGGGGGGATGATCGATGGGGTGGCTGAGCCTTGGCCTCGGCTCTTGGTGGGTGCTTGGAGGGGGTACAACTCTCTCTGCTCTCGGCGCTACAGAGCTGACAGCAGACCCCCTGTGCTGCTCAGAGCAGGGTGAACTCCCACACTACAGCATCTCCTGCACCGTCTCCACAGCCCTCATGCTCAGACCAGTGCCTCTAAATAGGAAGACAACTGAGCTGGAAGATGCCAGGTGGAGGCGTAGCTACTTTTCTCCCCAGGCAGCTTAGAAAGGGGCTGCAGGAATCCCTCTGGGATGGCAGCGGCAGGCGGGGCAGAACCGGGCTGCAGCACTTAGGGCCAGGTCTGGGCAGGTCTGCAGGCATGCAGGCACAACGCCTGTTTTTGCCAAAGCTGCTCTGAGCTCATGCAGCTCTTCCTCACAGTGCCAGCAGCATAGAGGCTCTGCAGAGCACAGACCCAAACCAGAGTCCATCACAGCTGAACAGCACAGTGGGGCAGCAGCGGGAGACCCTGAGAGCATCACGGCCACAGCAGGGAGACGGAGACCCCGAGGCACGGGCCAGAAATGAAGTCCTGTCAGCTAGGAGCACTTGTACGAGAAACCAGCAGATGGCAACAGCACCTCGCTGCGCTCCCAACGCTGTTGAGTCGCGAGTGGCGGCCATCATCCAACAGGTCCTTCTTTGCTGTTGGGGATCCAGCAGCACAGACGAACCAACCCGGAAGCAGCGGGATCTCTGACACCTCATGAGGGCTGTGAGCTCCTCCAGCAGATGAACAGAAACACATCAGCATCCTGTGACGACAGCGCCCACCGGGGGCAGAGGCATTTGCTGACTGGTATTTGAGCACGTTCCCCGTTTGTCCGACTGTCACAAACCCCAGTCCGACGCACGCTGCTCCTCCCACCTCCCCTCAGCTCCTGCTGCAGCTGTTAGCCTAGAAGCGATGGCGACAGACAGCTCTCGCTGTTTACCTCCACTTCGCTGCTGCACGCCCCGCTGAGCGCAGCAAACCCGCGCAGCTCCTCCTAACAGCAGGCGCAACTGCAACTCCATGCAGGAATTCCTCCCTCCCGAGGCGGCTGCTGAAGCACGGCCGAGAACTCGAGGAGCGAACAGCACGCGCTGCTCCCTGCCGAGGGAAGGACGGCACAGCGCTGCTTACAGGCGAGCCCTGGCTGAGCACACGGCCACCTTCCGGTCCGCCCCCCTTCGCTTGAGCTGGGTGAGAAACACGAACCTCGTTGATCGTGGTAGGTTTATAAAAATTTTCTTTTAATCACACAAAACGGAAGTTTGTGATGAAGATGAGCTTGACAGTTCCTCTTAAATACCAGTATGCATAAGACACTGCATTAGGCACTAGGCAGCAGCCAACATCAGTTAGAGTCTGGCAAGAGAAGCCATTTTAATACCTCCCTTCACACCGTGGGGAATTACAGGCTCTTGCAATACACAGTTTCCACTGACAGGTTATCCGAGGTTTCCCCTGCCCCACTTCTGTACATCAGCAAACCGTGTGCATTCACACCAGAGTAGGGTTAACATTAGTGGCATCACAACCATCAAAAAAAGACAATTTTCTATACAAGATTTCTTTTCTTTTTTTTTTTTTTTTGCAAAAGTTGCAACAGGATTAGTGCATGACGACAGAACCAGAGATAGAAAAGAAGTTGGCATGCTAGAGTCCAACACAAATAAAGACAATAGGCAGCTAGTTGTATGTACTATATTGACAAGATACTGATTGGTTACATGAAGAAACGTACAATACAAAATACAGAAGAAATCAGTTCTTCTTCCCTCTGCCCCACCCCAAAATACTCATAATTGATTTGGTCAACAGGAGGCTGAAGAGCCAGAGTTTGTCCCCACAATGCTACACCTCAGTGGTTGTTCTGGGCACATCGTACTGGCATCGCCCTGGCTTCTACTCGTGGGTGACTCTACACCAGGTTCTCTAGTCTCAATATCCCTTTGTTTCCAATAGTGAACTACAGTACTGTGGGACCTGGGTGCTGCTGGCGCTCCCCCGTGGGAAGGAAGAGCTGGCAGGGCAGACACCAGGTCACGCATCCACCACCAGCAGGAAGAGGGAAGAGCAGAAGTTCGTATATTAAAAAAGTGACTTAAGACTTAGAATTGAATTAGTATTTGTACAGAAAGGTGCGGGTGGAAGAACTCCCTCCAGCCTATGATCAGAAAGGGATGGAGAAATCACAGCAGCCACTGGCAGCCGCTCTACGGTAAGTGCGATTGTTAGCGTGGGTTCCAGTCACGTCCTTCGGGGCTCCGTCCGCTGCGCTCAGCTGCTCAATTGCTGCAGCACTGGCTCCTGCTGGGCTGGCTGCTCTCCTGAAGGTCGACCACCCGATTCCTGCCCGGACCGCCTGGAGCGTTCTGGGGTTCATTTTTTGGCAGTTTCTTGGCTAGGAAAGAAGCAGGATCAGCAGGCTGCTCTTACAGAGGATCTCCCCCCGCAGATCACACGCTGAGCTCAGCTCCGCTCAGCCCAAGCCTCCACCTCTCCAGGAGCTCAGGGCCGGACGCTGCCGGCAGCACAAGAACATCCAACCTGCTGTGAGCTGTCATCAGTTCCGCTCCACCCTCATCCGCCCCAGATAAAGGCAGAGGGGGAGCACGGTTTGCACCACCTGGGTGACTTCACACACAAGCCTGGCAACCCGGTCACACACTCCAGCAAGAGCCTCAGAGCCTGGCTGGCAGATTCTGTGGCTTTCAGTAGGCTGCTCTGCTCAGAGCTGCTCCACCAGCCTTTTCACACACACACACACACACACACACACACACACACACACACACACTCACCTATTGCCATGAAGATTTCATTCACATTCATCGCTGTCTTTGCTGACGTCTCCATGAACAGCAAGCTGTTGTCATCTGCATATGTTTGTGCATCCTAGAAACAATCACATTAGAGTGATAAAGGCATCCTGCCAGGAGGAGGCCCCACACGCTCCATTTGCTGCCATACTAATGACTGAAGGCAGCCTCTGCCCAGCCCAAACTGGGCCCTTCCAGCCCAGCACAGCCCTGCCTGGCCAGGACAGCCGGGGACACCACTGACAGCAGCACAGGACTGAAGTGCCAGCAGAAGAGCCAGGATACAGCAGCACAGGTTGGTTGTGAGCTGCATGTGGACTCTATGACTCAAGCAACTTGACGCCTTGTACTTTGGCTGGCTGGGAGTTGCACACACCTCACAATGTGCTGCAAGCAGCTCTGGGTGCAGGTCCTTGAGATAAGAGCTTCTACTAAGAAATCTGCCTCAGACAACTTGAGGTGAGTCGTGAAGACTAGAAAACAAGCTTCAGGTGGCTTATCTAAAAGATGTCATTCCATACACTGATGAAGACTGTATGTCTTATCCCTGATAAGTAAGGCAGCAATAGTTGATAATACAAATTTGTTCTCTATGGGCCTTCATAACATAACTGTTACCAACAAGAGCTACAAGTATTGTGACAAACCTACACGAGGAAGGCAGGCAAGGGGCACCCTGGGGTCCTCAGCAGCATCGATCTCAACTTCCACACTTTCTCCTCAAAGTATTTTTGACATAGACACCTCCTAGAGCTGACCAAAGAGCTGCTTTCCTGACTGCTCAGGTAGCAGCCAAACCAGATTCCCACTTACCTGGAAGTCCACAGCCCTCTTGGTAGCAAGGTCTGCCTTGTTTCCTGCTAGTGCAATTACAATATTGGGGCTAGCCTGCCTCTGCAACTCTTTCACCCAGTTCTTGGCTCGTACAAATGTGTCCTGGAAGTAAACAGGAGGCAGTCAGGAAAGGCAGCCTCTTATTAACGCACAACGAAGATATGATTAGAACAAGTCTTTCCTGTAAGAAGCATTCTGCCTCTACAGCACTTTGTAGCAGCATTCTTTATCAGCTTACACAGCCTTGCTCAGAAACAAGGAAGTGGCCATGAGTTTGAGAAAGTCTGACCAAGGCACCTGTAGGCCGGCATCTGCAGAAGCCCTAAACCCAAAACTCTCCCAGGGAAAGGAGAAGCATCAGATACAGAGGCAGATGCCCCCGGGGGCCCCGGCGCAGTACTCACTGTGTTGGTGATGTCGTAGACAACGATGGCGGCCTGGGCACCTCGGTAGTACATGGGGGCCAGGCTGTGATACCGCTCCTGCCCCGCCGTGTCCCATATCTCAAACTTCACCGTTGTGTCGTCCAGACAGACCGTCTGCGTTAGGAAGGCAGCTGAAAGAGAACAGGAGTTTGCCTCATCTCCAGCTGGAGAGCTCCTGCAGCAAGAGCCAGCAGCTCAGAGCAGATCTGCTTTTGCACAAGAGCTGGCAGAAGCCCCAGCCAGGCCAGCACACCGCCGCCTGCCGTGCGAGTCGCAGCTCTGCTGCGTCACAAGCTGCTTACATGCAGGAACCAGAGAGCAACAGAGAGGTGGCTCCGAGCAGCCAGCAGGCAGCCTGGCATTCAGTGCTGCTCCCTTTGCCAGGGGCCACCACCCCGATCACGCAGCACAGCTGCAGCACCCCCGGGATTTGCTTCCAGGAGTGCCGCGCTGCGCTCAGCCCAGCTCCGCTGCGCTCCTTGGTTTAGAAATGGTGCTTTTCCCGTTCCAGTGAGCACAATGCCACCTTCATTTCAGTTCCAACACAACCAGGCTTCTACACGGTCTGAGGTAGAACAGCAGATCACTCACGCAGCCCCTGTGGCAAAGCACTGAGCCCTGCCTGCCTGCAAGCTGTCCCACTCCACACAAGGGTCACCACAGGGACAGACGCAGCCCCTCGGCGCGCATCTCCTCACATTACTGCCCAGAAGGCTGGGTGCTGACTGACCTTTGATTGGTGACACCACAGCGACTATTTTAAGCTGAAGATCTGCTAGGCCTGAAGGAGTTGTGGAAACGGTTTACTTGATCAGGCTACAAACAAGACTGATATCCCAGGTCCCGTTCAGAAAACATAATTAAGGGCTATAAA